CACTGCTGCCTGCTGTGGGCCCAGCCAGGTGACATCAGCTCGCTCCGTGGAGGTAACAGCAGAGAGCACGGCGCTGCCACCCTCTAGCACAAGTAGCTTCTCCCGCTCCTCCCGTTTGTTCACAAACAGCACGGGTGCCTCTGTGCCAGGGGAGCACCGGGCTCAGCTGTGACCCCACTGGAAGCACCGGTTTGGGATGGCTGCACAAAACATCCCAGTGTGGGGCAGGGACTGCTCCTGCCCCCCGGCATGCGTGAGGGACACCTCCAGCCTCACCTTTCACATGCAGCATGAAATGCACTTCGTCGTCACCAGCATCGCAGAGGAAGATGCCGTCATCACCCAGCTCTGCTTGCTTGATGGTGAGGCTGCGTGCAGGGCCCTCACTACACACCAGCAGCCGCCCGCCCGAGACCAGTGTCTGTCCATCCTTCTGCCACCGTACTGCTGCCGTCTCCAGGGACAGCCGGGCCACCCCTCCAGCACCTCCAGTGGACTCTGTGCCTCCTCCTTGTTGACAATATGCACGGGCCGGGCTGGGGGGCACAGGGGACAAGGCAGGGCTCAGGGGTGTCCCTGTGGTGTGGGGCAGTGCAGGAATGAGACTGCTGCAAGCAGACAGGTGGCAATGCCCACAGTGAGTCACCGTGGGGCAGGAGGGCTGTGGGGTGATGGGCATCGTGGTGGCACCAGCTGGGGCTCCTGGTGGGGCAGGTGTGCAGGCTGTTAGGGGCTGTCAATTCAGGATCCCTTCAGGGAAGTGGCCCCAGGAAGGGATGCAGCACAGCCCATCATTCCTACATCCCTCCCTGCAGAGGCAGCTCAGCTGCCAAGTTGGGTCCATTAATTTTGGTGTGTTCCCCATCCTGAACGCCTTGCTGGGGAGCTGTGACACCCACCTGCACCAGGCCCTCTCCCACTCTGCCCAGCCCTCCATCTCCAGATGATAAGGGTCCGGGCTGAGCTCTGCTGTTGGCAGCTGAAGCAGGAGAAGCGGCGCCTGGGAGCTGGCCAAGGCTAAATTTAACCAGTCCCTGGCTGGAGGAGGTGGGAGAGACATGTCTCACCACGACCCTGACATGTCCCTTCCTGACCAACAGCTCCTGCAGGGTTGGAGACACAGCTCCTGCCACGCTGCTGCCCTGGCCTCTGCCATCAGTGGGGTCCCGGAAGTGTCCTTTCCCCATGCTGTGGCACAATCCCACCGTGCTGGGGGTCCCCAAGGCACTGAGCTCCCACTGGCTCACCTGACACCTCCACGTTCATCACCATACGGTCGCTGGCAGCATCGCAGACGTAGCACCCCGAGTCACTGGGCTGTGCCCCACAGATGGTGAGCTGCCGCAGCACCCCACGGGCAGTGATCTGCACTCGCTCACCTGGCTGCACCTGCTGGCCATCCCGGAGCCAGCACACAGGGGCGTCAGGCTGGGAGAGCCCCCAACCCAGCACCAGGTCCTACCCGGCCACCCCGCACTAATGCTCCCTTGCACCT